TGGCACGCTGTCGCCCACTCCGTGAACGTTTGCAAGGGCGTAGGCTACCAAAGCCCACTGCTGTGACTTCACGACTGATGTCGCATAAAGGCTCGGCCTATTTTTATCCCTCTGTAATTTATACAACCTCCCAACTCACAGGATCTTCTAAGGACGCCTGAGTATGTCTCCAATGCAGAAAGAAGCCGTCTCTTTCTCCTCGCCTTCTGCAATCCTCTCACCAGCCTTTCTGAACACCAACCTGCTCTATCTTTGCGCCTGGCTATTCTCCCCATAACGACCACCATCCCATATAGACGTGCAGGGGCCCGACTCACCACAGTCAATTATTCATGTCTCTCAACTTTAGCATCAATTCACTGTGACAGAGCTGGTCCGTGCTAGTCATGATGTCATCATAGCGATGGTGATTGATGCAGTTGCGGAGAGTGTGAGGGTGGATCTGGTGACAGTAGGAGAAGGTGACAGGCTACGACTCAGCGAAACCATCTGCTCTTATTCTAACTCCAATACTTTGTCATCTTAGATACAAGTAATCTATCAGAAACTATGTTACTGGTGTTTGACTATTTGACTCAATTTCCAGCCTGGCGGAGACTCTAACTGTGTGTGTGGCAGTTCCCTCGGGTTCTCTAATGAGCCTGACGCATTCACCCTTTTCCTCACCACCTTCAATGATCCTCTTCCAACAATCCGGGGTCGTAGCTATACCGCCTCAGATTTCCAAGATCTAGTCCAGAACGTCTTCCTTGAGGCCGGGCCCTCCTAGCCCGAGACCAGCTATAAATCTGTGGTAATGGTGACTGTGAATGATGGAGAACTGACAACCAACCGCCTGCCTTCACCACCATTCATTAACGTCATGAACGAAGCACCACGTGTACTACTGGGGCAACGAACAGGTATTGAAAAATATTGTCTGATTAACGAGAAAAAGTTTCACAACCCCCTTTTCTCCATGTAGTCCCTCTCTGCTGAAATAGTAATGGAAGATGAACCCCCAGTCGTGGCTCTGTCCACCTTCCACACCATTCTCGCCAACTCTCCCGCTCATCACAAACTCACCGTCACACTTACCAACCCTCAAGACCCCGCCTCCTCAGAAAACATTTCTCTTTTGGACCGACCTCGGCCTGCCAGACGAGATATCACTCCTGATTTCCGACAACAGGACTGTACTAGAACTGAGCGGTGCAGCTTCTGCAGAAATCTACAGCTCGGCCTTGTCTAGTGTGGTCTATCAGAACTCCAAGCTGGCCAATATCATTGAGAATCAACCAGACCTCACACCAAGGCAAGGAACTTGGGATCAAGACAAATAGAGCTATGTCATAATGCATCTCTCTCTTTCTCGATAGGGTAATAAGTCTTGTGGCTGTGGATGAGGAAGGTGTCCAAGGGGACCAGAGTCAACAATCACAGTCAGATTCGACCGGACTTGCAGAGTTATGACAGAGTCGGGTATCCTAACTCTAGCCACCCAGGAAGATGTGGACCGACTGGCTGTTTGTACTAGCCTCTGGAACACACGAGTCGACATTGTCGGAGGCTCTACCGATCCCATAGTCTCTCTTCTTCCCATGAGAGACATCACTGTGAGTAGGGGCTCTGGACTAAAAGCACTCCTTTTCTGCCTATTAACAAGTAGATGCGGGTAAAAAAACGTAGTAAATCTGTTCGTCTCATTCTCCTCCCTTATGCATAATGTAAACCATGTTGTTCATAAGATCACATCTGTTAACCTTATAGAGTCTGGGAGACCTTTTTATCAATGGGTTGACACACCTTACAAGTCTCTCTGGACTGGAGAACCTATCCCACTACGGTCCCGAACTCTCCATTGTCAACAACTACCAACTGAGCACCACCGCACAGCTGAGTGCCAACGTCCCACCTGACTCGGCCCACTTCCTCTCACTCACTAACGTCGGAGTGAGAAGTAACCCTCTACTTAGATATCTCAGTGGTCTTAGACTCATCAATACCATCACTGGTAAGTGTTCTCTCTAATAACAATGAAAGGGACTTCACTGCTGTTACTTTCGTCTCAGGTTTGCTGTACATTCAGAATGGGGACTCTCTGGCTGATCTGTCGGGATTTGACAACTTGGTCCATGTGGACAGCCTTGTGCTGGCACTGCTGGGAGACAGCTTGACTGACATCTCTGGGTTCTCCTCTCTCCACTCTGCCAGCAGACTCTACATCACCAGGAACAATGTGAGCACTCCTCCAACACTGCAGCTTTTACTGGGCTAATACTAGAATAAAAGTGATGTGAACTGTGATGAAATTATATAAGAGTTTTATTGAATGAGTATTAGGTTCTCAAGTAATTGTGTGTAAGTGATGAAGGCTAGGTGTGTTTTTCCCCCATACAGAAATTGGAGGTGATCTCTGGTTTCCAGAGACTGAGGTATCTCGGTGGACTCCTGATCACTCAGAACCCTCAGCTGGTGGCTGTGGATGGTCTGTATGGGCTGGAGAGGGCTGATTTGAGAATCGACATCATCGACAACCCGCTCCTCTGCTATTCCCTTGACAGCCTCTCTGACGAACTATTCTGGCAGGTAAAGCCCTTCAGTTTCTGTGTTGCTCTTTCTTTCACAGGGAAAAATATAATCTTTTGTGTTTCACAGAGTCGTATAGGAGAAGAGGGAATTGTGATGGTGAGTCCAAAGCCTACTGCTGACAGGTGCAGTACCAGAACATGCACCCACCCCACCCCCTGTCTCAACAATGGGAACTGCACCAACACCACACTTCCCGATATCACCGCCAACGAATTTGTCTGCCGCTGCCCTGCCAACTTCTTTGGTGTGGGATGTCAGAACATTGACGTCTGCTCGGCTCTCCAACCGTGTCAGAATGGAGGCAACTGTACAGTCGATCTGCTCAGTCCCAGCCAGTTTGTCTGTTCCTGCCAGCCTGGGACAACGGGGCCATCATGTGAAATAGTTATCTCCCCATGTGCCTCATCTCCCTGCGAGAACGGAGCAGCTTGTATAGATGACTCCAGCACAGCTGGTCAATTCAACTGCCTCTGTCTCCCGGGGTTCAGTGGAGAGAGGTGTCAGAGTGATGTGGATGATTGTGAATCATCTCCATGTCTGAATGGAGGGACGTGTTATGATGGAGCTAATAGCTACAGCTGTGAGTGCCCTCCTGGTTTCTCGGGGGAGCAATGCCAGAGTCAACTAGTCTTCTGCTCACCTGATTCCTGTGCTAACAACGGCTCCTGTATTGATGAGGTGGGAGGGTTCTCCTGCGTATGTCTGCCAGGGTGGACTGGCCCAGAATGTCAACAGAACATGAACGAATGTGTGGATGAAGTATGTGAGAACGGAGCCACGTGTGTCGATCGTCCAGGTTCATTTACCTGTCTCTGTGGGCCGGGATTCACTGGACAAACCTGCAGCGATACCATTGACTTCTGCTCCAGTAATCCGTGCAGTGGGAACGGAGAATGCTCATCGACTGATTCAGGTTTCACCTGCCAGTGTGATCCTGGCTACACGGGGGAACTCTGTGATCAAGACATTGACGAGTGTCTCTCCAGTCCTTGCTCTGATAGTGCTACATGCATGCACGGCATCGATCACTTCACTTGTATCTGTCCCCCTGGAACAACTGGCTTGTTGTGCGACACACCACTTGATCAGTGCTCGAGTCAGCCTTGCCTTAATGATGCTACTTGCCTGGAGGACAGTCTCGGTGGCTTCCAGTGTCTCTGTACACCTGGGTTCACCGGCCCGCTCTGCCAGACTCAGCTTGACTTTTGCGTCGATGATCCCTGCCTCAATGGAGGTACTTGCTCGATTTCTGAGACTGGGTTTGAGTGCGCCTGCCCTACTGGCTGGTTGGGCCCACTCTGTCAGTTTGCCGACTCTGTCACTACTAAACTCACATCCTGCGGAGTGGAAGGTGCCACTGACATCTTCTCTGAGAGCCTCTCGACTACTGATTCAGTAGCATTCACATCTGAATCTCCAGCCATCACAACCCAATACTCTCTCTTGTCCAGTGCTCTTTATTTCTCGAGCTGGGTGTGGCAGGAAGAAGGAACAGCTGGAACTATCTTCTCTCTCACTGACACCTCTGACCCATCTATGCTCACTAGTCTGGTGTCAGACCCTGAATTCAGCGAGGTCAAACTCCACTACTCCGGTAGTGGAATGAGCGAACAGGAGCTGACTATTACCAATACCCCACTCAGTTTCAGACGCTGGCACCACATTTCCATCTCTCTCTCTCCTCTTCCATCTCTCTAGCCATCGACAACCGAATGATGTTCAATCGTCCCGTTGCCAATCTCCACCTGCCTACAGATTTCAACATAACCATTGGCAGAGGTGGTCTCCGAGACCTATTTATTGGAATAATGAGAGGGGCAGCAGTGTATGATGGGGAAGTGGACCTATCGTCCCTAGTAGAGTGCACACTACAATGTAGTGCTGGGGACGGTATTGTCAGAACGGCGGGACTGCTACGATCAGTTCACAGCGCAACACCTCTGCTCGTGTGTGCCTATGGTTTCACTGGTCCGTACTGCCAGTATCGCAACAGTAGGATCTCATTTGAGGGAAGTGGCTCTGCAAGTCTTCCAGAGCTCCTAGGATCGCAGTCGTCGGTTGACCTAGATTTCAAGAGCACAAACACAACTGGTCGGATCTTCTCAACCTCCTCGCCAACATTCTTCGCATTTGTCAGTGTGGATGGTGACACACTGCTCATGACAGTTCTCCACTGTGACGGGCAGACACAGATGTTATCGAGCCCAGTTTCGTTCGAAGTCCCCTCTCAGTGGCACTCTGTGACTCTCACCAGCTCCCCAACTTCAGTCTCTATTACTCTAGATAGAGCACCCCCGTCTACTCTCATGCTACTGAACACCACAGGCTGCACAACCCCAGCCCCCCACCTCCATCATGCTGGGAGGGACCATGATCATCCACCCATCACCGGTGTGTCAGAGACATTCTCCTGAACTCCGCACCTCTCGATTCCTCTCAGCTGGTGCTCAGTGGCGGAGCCCAATTTGGCTGCACCAGAGACACGGCTCAGTTCTTCAGCCAGTCATTCCTCCGGCTCCCTACCTCCTCTCCCCCACCTCGCAGACCATTTCCTTCCTCTCAACACTCAGTCCTTGGTGGGTGTGGTCTACTACAGCCATCGTCTCCCTGGCGATGCCAAACTGCGACGACCCTGTCGACTTCCTAGCCGTCCACCTCTCGTTTGGCAGACTCTCTCTGTCCTACAACCTCGGGCAGACGACCACTGTATATCGCGACGCCGGTGAGCGGCACGATGGAGATTGGCACAGTGTGAGGGTCCCAATCAATGGCACTATGGTGTTCTTACAGTGGACGGAGTCAGTCGCCATGAGAGATCTCACCTGGCCCTCTCAGCATGCTAGATCCCACTGCAAGGATCCTATTAGGTGGAGTTCCACCCTCCGATAGAGTCTCCAGTTTTTCAGAGTACTTCAACTTTGACGGGTGCGTAAGAGAGATTTGCACAGACACGAGCCCCGACCGACCTCCTCACCCACACCGATTCCCAAAACGTGCGATTTGGAACCTGCACTGATCGAGTCCATGGCAACTATAAGCTAGAACAAAGGTGAACAATAAGAGAATGATTTTAAACTGACAAAATCCTGTCTGAGTGATGAATAATCATGCATATACATGTAATCTGAACCTCTGTGATGATCTGGTGAAATAAGTCAACATACACAAATTAAGTGCGACGAGCAGAATGCGTGTACAGAACCTGATGTACACACAGACACAAACAAACAAAATCGCTGACGTTGCAACTAGTGAATGTTCACTGAATCCTAGTAAAGTGGTGGGGCCACTACACATATGAGGCTTCATCTTCCTCATCGTCATACTCTTCAAAACTGTCATTTCTCCACGTTCTTTCCAGTTCGCCCTCTGGGGTGTTTGGCTGAACTCTGACCCTCGGTGCCGAGTTGAGCTGCACCGACGTCGGGTGGAGCTTGGACAAAGGTGTAATGGGTGGAGCTTGTAATGGGTGTGGTGTCGTGGAGGGTGACTGGTGAGGGTCCCATGGAGGAGGGGGAGGGGAGGTAATGGGGAGCGGAGACGAGGTGTAGTCTAGAATTGCGCGTCAAAGACTCACAGAACGATGAAGAGTGATTCTAAGAGAAAAGATTTTGTGTTAGAAATAATCTTCAACTTCGTCACACAAACTGCAATATTGAGCATTGCAAAAATCCATCCAACAGTAGCTAATAATTTTCTGTTCATAAACATTGTCTATGACGTATAAGGAACGTTATTCATGGTTTTTTATGCCACAAGTAACAACACAACACCAGCTCACCATTCCATTGGATATGATCTCACCACTACAGCAGGGAACATTCCCTCTCTCCCCTGGTACCTCCTCCAGAACCCGTCGTCCACACCCTCGTCCGTGTTGATCAGCTCAAGCTCCGCCCCCTCGGGAACGTCAGTTTCATCCTCGTCGTCACCTGTGTACTCGTAGAGTGCCCTCACATGGTGACTCCTGTAACTGGAGGGAGAGATGTGCGCAGCATTCGGACCTGGCAGACCTTGTGCCTTTCTCTATCACGAGAACTGGATTCATTAAGTCTCATGCAGCTCCATGATTGATCCATGCATTATGCAACACTGCTTTCATCCATGGATCATTAAGGTTGCTACACGGTATATTGCTTTTACCCTTCATGACAGATGTAGAATGGTGGATCGTGTTTGGGCTGACCTTCTCTGTTTGTGGAAGGGATGTGGGTAAGGGTGTCGGTGTCTCCATTACTGAGACCTGTCCCATTGAGGATCTCCACGTCCTGGTGCAGACTCTGAGTTGGTGTATACAGACGTAATACACAGAGTAAACGTATGTTAGTACTGTAGCTGTACATCAGCTTGTATTAGAAGGCCTTGTGTATTATAGTGTCTTGCTACTGCCGGGTCCTTGGGACTCTTGGTCCATGGACCCTCTTCAATCATGTATGTACGACTGACCTCTGACCCCAGGTCTTGGAGCGGGCCAGTGAGATGAGAGTTAATCATCAGCTGGACCTGCTGGATGGAGGACGAGCGAGGTGAGGAGGAGGGAGACACAGCACGGACGTAGGTCTGTGGGAAGTACCCTCCAACCCACTCTGGTTCCGCCCCTTGCTCCACCCATCTCCGTCGTCCCATTCCAATACCTCCAGCTCCTCGTCTGTTTTGATGGACAGTTCATCTGGTCTCTGGGCCTGTGAGGCACACCACACCACCACCACTGATATGTTAGTGTATGTATGGGCATGCAGGAAACTGTGGCATGCCTAAACCAAACCCCTCACCACAAGACTGGTATGTGTAAATATATGGGCAAAATGCTGGAAAAACTGTGAAATCCCTAAACTGTACCTCTTACGATAGAATATGGCACAAAACACAAGGTTCATGTATTAGCCAGGAACTGGTTACACACAAAACCAAACTTATTTCCCTCTCTTTTCCTTCCTATTTCCTCCATATCTCACTGTGTAGTCGTAGAGAGCGACGCAGTGTTTAGGGCCGGCCTCGCTGCGAGCAGACCCAATACTCATTCCGTCCTCGACGAGCGAGAACTCATGGGACGACGTCTCCAGCCACTCCTCGGAGCTCCGAGGTCCTGAGTCACCGACAGCAGACTGGACACTGGCCGGTCCCCAGCTGTAGGCAGAGGGAGCGAGTTTAGAACTAATGGTATACAGTGAATGTATCATTCTTAGAGGGGTCCAATAATTAGATGTTACCCCTTTAATGACAGGAGGGAAAGGCATTGCTACACTCTTACTACTGAAAAGGCTAACCACACATCGAAGATAAATTACACTTCACCTTCAAATTCTCAACATACATACGTACACAAGCATTCTGGGTTTTCATTGCATTCTAGGGATGACCCAACCATAGATATTAACGTGGCAGTATAAATACTAGGAGAGTAGGTCCAACTGACCTGATATATCAGAGGTGGGTCGCTCTCCCCTCACTTTCTCCTGTGCCTTCTCGATCCATCGACCCACGTCGATCCCCACCTCTCGCAGAGCTTGCCAGTCTGGCCTCGGCTCTGGTGACCTTCACAGCCACCTCTCTGATGCTCTCCTCCATCTCAGCTATCTTCTGCTGCGCCTCCGAAAACGCTTCACTCGTACCAAATTCTGGGTTCTGGAGGAGGACATGAGAATAAAGATTTACTAGCTGTTCCACTGTCCTGCTAGCTCTAACTTACATGTACTAGCTGTAGCACAGGTAAATGTCTATAGCTTACATTTACTAGCTGTAGCCAGGTAAATGTCTCTAGCTTACATTTACTAGCTGTAGCACAGGTAAATGTCTATAGCTTACATTTACTAGCCGTAGCACAGGTAAATGTCTATAGCTTACATTTACTAGCCGTAGCACAGGTAAATGTCTATAGCTTACATTTACTAGCTGTAGCGCAGGTAAATGTCTATAGCTTACAACCTGTGTAATGTACTGCGTTTGGCTTTCACTTGTCCTCCATTGACACTCTGTGATTCATGCGCAGGCTATAGAGGAACTGTGGAGCAGTTTTAGTGCGAACACTGCCAGCACAATGTGGACACTGACTCCACCACTCACCCCATTCACCCCACTCACCTTCACACGCTCTACATGTGTAACTCAGAGCACTCACTCCTGAAACTGACACTCTGTGCATGCTCTGAAGTTTGGTCATTGCATACGACTATGTTTATCTTGGCTTCCAATACTCCAGATGTACATACACACAGTCCTCAGGTACTCACTGACCTTGGTGTAGGCCGAAGTGACTGATTTGACACCCTTGATTGTTTCTGGAATACTTCAATGCTCTCCTGGTGTTTCGCCAGCCGCATCGCCCACTTCCGAGCATCTTTCTCCAGATATATCTCCGCCCCGTGATCTTTGCTCAGCGAAATCACGGAGTCTTTGTCGTGAGCTTCAAATCTGTACTCCACTCTGTCTCTGAGGACTGGGTTCTTGTGGAAGAAACACTCCACCACATAGTCTCTGTTCACCTGAGGTCATGTGACGATCATGTGACTGTATGCCCGGACCATGTGATAATCATGCTGGGATCATGTGAATGCATACTGGGATCATGTGATGATCATGTGACTGTATGCCCGGGATCATGTGATGATCATGTGACTCACCATGTAGACTGTTCTCGGAGGTCTTCAAATTGGGCCTTGACCAGGTTGGCAGCGTCGGCCTCGATCTGGGCATAGAGCATGTAGACGTGGCGAGATTTTTCGTACATCTCGCCATCCATTGCCTGTGCACAACACACACACACACACACACAGTTAGAGGTTAGCACTGACAAAATCAACCCAATCTGTTAAGAGGCACGCTGGTTATATGCCAGGCAAAACATCACATTCTTCCCCATAAGGTCCCCGGCGAAAATTCTCTGGTGAAAACACTGTCACACACATCTTATCATTACCCTCATGAGGGCGGGAAGGTCTTCTGAGCCGTGTTTATAGAGGTGAGCATTGGTCGTGGTGATGGCAAGCAGATAGTCGTTTCTGGCGACCGTCGTCTTCATCTGACACTGCTTCAGTCTCTCTGCAAACTTGTTGTAAGTCTTTTCCAGAGACTGCGTCGATTCGAACAGCTTTCTGTCGCCCTTTCGAATCCTGTTTAGAGAGAAGCAGGGAGGAGAGGAAAGATGGTAAATTTCACGAATTTCACAAACTTTGTGAAATCTCGAAAGTACGTATATATACATTAGCCGGAGCCAGGAGGGTGTTCAAACCTTGTCTCGGCCTCCGTGAACTTCTGACGTGCATCGGCACACACCTTGCATGGTCGCCATACGTTTTCTTACACTGAGGAATGGAGAGAGAGAGAGAGAAGCTAGGTTTGAAATGGACGACAAATTGAGAGAAAGAGGGGAGATAAGAGAACGAATTGAGGCCGACACAGAATGAATGAGAGGTTGAATGAACGTTTGGTAAACAGGGCAGCTGGGTTTGCACATGGAGCTAAGCTACAGGGGCAGGTTGGCAAAACAAGCTATAGAATCATTTGTTTCCCTACAAACAGAGACTGTGTTTAGGTGAAAGGGCTGGAGGAGTGAGAGGTCGTTGTTTTGTTGAGTTGGTAATAAACTCTGAGAGAGAGAGAGAGAGAGAGAGAGATAGAGAGACGGCAAACTTACTGTGACCAGCTCCTTCACAGACTCCAGGATCTCACTGTTCATCTTTTGTGCCGACTCTATCAGCTGTGTGTGTGTGTTGGGAAAGATTACATCATTAGTGATTACATCATGATCAAGTACAGCTTCAGATGCCATAGGACGAGGGAATTTGGACAAACAGATGGTGCAGTGGGAAATTGTCTGTCCCACATATGGCAGTGTCAACACACATGTATCACACCCAGCCAAACATACAATACTGCAATTATAAAGGTCCAGTTAGTGAGTATCGATGTAGTATAGAGGGCAAGGGTGCAGGAAGTGAAGGCAGGGATGTTAATAATAGGTGACTAAACCCTTGTCTCTAATGCCAGTCACATGAGAGGTAATGTATAGCTCTCTATCTGTACCCTCCACGGAATGGTGAATGGTGGAGACAGTGTACTCTGTTCAAGAACAGGCTAGCTCTCTATTGATGCCAGTTACTAGTCCCATATACACGTGTCTACCCACTAAACACTATTTCTTGCCCACACACACATTATGTTACAGTGAGAAAACCGTTTTGACTGAGGCTGTCTGCAATACAGAGGAACCCCTCTCTAAGGACACCCCTGATACAAGGACACCTCTCTAATAAGGACATCTTCCTTTTCCACAAATACATTTCTTCCATGCAATTTAATACGGAATTCTGTCCCACTGGTGTCCAGATTAAAGGGTTCCAATTCTCCACCCTCCCTCCTCCCTTCCCTCCACCCACTCTCTTAAAGCTCTGTTCTTTGATCCTCTTCTGCTGCCTCATCTCCTCTGAGACCTGAGAGAGGAGCATCTCCGAGACGTTCATTCTGGCCCTCGCGGCCTCCTCCGTCTTCTGCAGCAGCATCTTCCATATCTCCATCAGCCCTCTGCAGTAACACACACCATAATACATCCACATTACGTTAGTAGCACAAACTACTATAAACCTCAAAATAACAGACATCGTGAAAGTCAAGGTAGTCAAATGCAATTGTAGACTTCTGCAGTAAAATATACACCCAGTTCACTCACAGTCCACTCACACAACTTTCTCTCCATTGAACCTCCAAATAAAGTAAAACTCTAATTTACTACAAATCGCAGCATTCCCCCCTCACATTTCCCTCACAGTTTCCTCCCACATTAGTACCACATAGAAAATATACAAAAACAGATGCTCCCCAAACTACCCTGTCCAACTGGACAGACCTGTTTCTATAGTTCCGTCAAACTGGACAGACCTGTTTCTATAGTTCCGTCAAACTGGACAGACCTGTTTCTATAGTTCCGTCAAACTGGACAGACCTGTTTCTATAGTTCCGTCAAACTGGACAGACCTGTTTTCGGAGCGGTCCATGGAGGAATACCGGGAGGGTCCTTGATGTCTCTCTTGGCGAGGAACTGCTGGACCAGTCTCAGGAGGTTCTGAGAGTACTCTCTCTCTATGGTAGACCTCTGCTTCGAGAAACTCCTGTTTGTCGCAGAGACATTACATAATTATACACTTGAGACTTAGTGTTGTAACTGGTTACTGGGACTCTCAAAAGCTACTCAAAGTGATGGGCATGGTAGTGGGTTTAACGCTATGAAAACTAAGGAACCATTTAGTTGATCTTGCTAACCATTGTGATTCTAGCCAAATGTTGATTCTTTCAAAGCTAATGGTTAGTTTTAGAGAAATGAAGTGTGAGGAGTGTATACAGATCTGGGAGTCCATTAGTGCATTACATCACCACGACAAGCTGCCAAATAGACGAATGGTTAATGAATGAAACAGTCGAGTATTACCAGAAAAACGACATGCCAGGACCGATGATCAAACTATAGTTTCATTATGGATCTAGGAATGAGCTGTATCATTATATAATTTGTAGTGTCGTCAAAGAATGCACTTTGCCATAATTGTTTTATTAGGCCAACTCTTATAACCGTACCACCAAGCATATTGTTATGGAGTACAGAGTATCCAATTATATATGTGCATTCTCTACGTAAGTGTATGATTTTGTGAAGACATGTAAGCATCCTTCGCCACACGACATGAACAGGTCTTACCTCATGTCTTCAAGAAAGTCTATTTCAGCCTGATGCTTGACGTGCAGCTTGGTCAACTTGTCGTTGAGATTAGTCCTCATGGAGGCATTCGAAGTCCCCGTAAACTGCCGCTCCTGTAGAAATTGATCACAACTATCCACCAACATCAAAGGAGACGCAGGATGTTGATTTAAAACTAACAAACTTCCCCCACTAAGATTGGTGCCAGCAGGTAATATCCTATTTCATTTCCAGGTGGCACTAAACTTCCTCTACATCTCATATCTCTGTCACTGGCCTTGCCAAATACTAACCTGACTTACAGGTCACGAGAAATAATTGCATAATTACTAAGAACAGTAGTACTCAATATAAGATGACGTGGTACATCGAGCAAGCTTGGCTAGAGCTTGCCTAGACAGGTATGATCCTGCATAGCACTGATGAAAATGGTGTGAACTGTATCCCGTTTTGTAGTATATGGAGAGACTTGTACGTGCAATTAGCTACGGTCATTCAGTGCCCTACCCACACCTCAATTGACATGACAGAGGGATGCACCAAATGTCCCAGAACACCAGCTAGTAGGGGGCTGCACAGCTACGGTGCTGGAATGCAGCCAGCCAGTTTGTACAGACACGGTCCGATACACACCAAAACACAGAGGGAGCATTGGGACTACACAGAAGAGATCGACCTCAGTCTACGGTACCAGTTGTTTGAAACAGAAATATCGGACACCACATTACACCACAGAGTCACATTACACCAACTAGTGTTGCATCACAATGAGTTTGCCAGTGCCCCTGGATAGTGTATGTACAGGATACCAGGATGACCCTAAGCTGAAGGTAAAGGGTGAGGTTTCTTCCCACAAGAGGCAATGCTGCATAAACCATGAACCCAGTTAGAGCCAAGGAGGAACAACTGTAGCTAACTAAGGACACATCCTCTTGCCCCCCAGAAGCCAGGGGTTCAGGATAAGTCTGAAAGAAGCCTGTGGCGGTCACTTCCATGTCATGCAGACCCACCCTGTTTTCCAGATTAGGCAGAGGAAAGAGAGAGACAGCGCAGGGTGGGCACGACAACACCACACTAGACCAAACACGGCCACAGTAGCCTCAACTATCCATAAACTATTCACGTTCTGCTAGTTCTCTCTCAATAGATCTCTCTACGAACCAGGAGGCCCATTGTGGGGAGAATATTCTTTTACTGGTGTGTTAAAAAAGCCATCGACTGCGAACAGGCTCCCCTATAGAACACGTTGACATTGCTACACTTAGCTACTAGCTGCTTGCATGCGGGGAGCTAGCGAACACCCCCCCATGAGCTCTAATACCTCAGGCCCGTCGTTCTCACTGCCAGCGCACCACACACACAGGAGATGGAGGAGAAGGAGAGTTACCCATTCCGCCTACTACCCTCTCCTCTCTCCCCGGTAACAGAGGTGCCGTAGTGTCCGCAAAACGATAGAATCCCAGGAGAAACATCCCACTACACGAACCAGACACGTAAACTATCCGGTGCAAAACACCAAGCAACTTGCCTTGCGGTCTGATGCCTGCACGCTCGTACTCATGGCGTAGTCTGCTCACAGAACCTTTCCTAACTCAAAATTGTCTCCTCCAGATCAAGATATTGGCATTTTTATTTGGGGCTTTGCATAATAAGGGGCGTGTTTTATGGTCATAATTAGCGTGACGTCAAAATACTTCCGTTGTTTCAGGAAACGTCCACATGCGCATGTCTCACGCCTTTTGGTAGAAGAGAAGATGGCTAGAAACGGACCAGAATCTACTGCTGGTTAGCTTCTACTGCAGTTGGATTAACGTTAAATATTATCATTGATGCTATGCAGGTGCCCGTCTGATACGAGTGGGCTCGCGGTCCAGCGAACTGGCAATGATACAGAGCGAGACGATCGTCGCGGCCCTGAAGAAACTCCACCCAGAGCTCGAGGTCCAGATCACCACCATGAAGACCATCGGAGACAAGATTCTGGACAAGCCGCTTCCGGCGATCGGACAGACCAATCTCTTTACTAAAGAACTGGAGACGGCCCTCGCTGGAGGTCAGATCGACCTCATAGTTCACTCTCTCAAGGATCTACCGACCACCATTGCCCCAGAGATGAAAGTCGCGGTGATATTCAAACGAGACAAGTCGACGGATGCGGTTGTACTCCACTCCAAACACAAGGGGAAGAGACTGCAAGAGCTCCCCAGTGGAAGTGTCGTGGGCACCTCGTCTCTGCGAAGGATAGCACAGTTGAAGAGAATCTGCCCGGACCTGGTCTTCAAGTCTGTCCGTGGGAACCTCAACACTCGAATGAAGAAGCTGGATGAGAGTGGTGAGTACGATGCCCTGGTTCTTGCCACAGCCGGACTGGAGAGACTCGGCTGGCTGGACAGAATCGACCAGGAGCTGGACTCCTCCGAGTGTATGTATGCAGTTGGGCAGGGAGCACTGGCAGTGGAGACCAGAGCCAGTGACGACTCCACTAACGCTCTCCTGGAACAACTGAATGACATGGAGTCCGTTCTCTGTTGCGCAGCCGAGCGTAGCTTCCTCCATAGTCTCAGTGGAGGATGCAGCGTGCCTGTTGGTGTCTTCTCCGAGGTGAGAGACAGTGAGCTGTTCCTGGAGGGAGCAGTCTTCTCTCTAAATGGCTCAGAAATGATCAAGAGCTCCGCTGGTGTCAGACTCCCCACTGGCTATGCAGAGAAAAGTGTGGCATTCTGGCTCAGTCAGGGAGAGCAGCTGGGGAAAGAGCTGGGAGCTGAGTTGTTGGCCAAAGGAGCAAGCCCCATACTAGCCAAAGCAAAGGAGGAGAGTGAGATTGGGAGAGACTGACAGACTGAAATTTTGGCGCGGTTGTTTGTACATTTTGCGCATGCGCGGATTATTTAACACAGGATGCCGCGAAAGGGTTCGTTCGCGTGAAAAGGTTTCGCATTGCATGGACGCACAACATAACGAGGATTCTTTTCCGTTTCTCCGAAGTGAGAACATGCAGGAGAGGTGCATGTGCGGAGCTTACACCTGGCACAGAGGCTACAGAAAATGAACCGGTGGCAGCTATTCGCAGTAGTATCGATACTCAGTCCCACCTTCTGCCTCTCGTGTGGTGAGTTTTCAACTACAAATCAGTGAAAAGCACTCCATTCTGTTGTGTGTCGTCAGGTGAGCCTGGTCTAGGCTACAGCATTGAAGTATCCACGGAACCGCTGGTTCCCGCGTTGGGAGAGACGCTAGAACTGAGATGCAGAGTCAACGACTCCTCGCTGGATCAGTGGACAAATGGTGTCTTCACCAGAGGAAGCAAGCTGATGTGGAGCGAAGGAGGCGCGAGAGACTGGTCCGAGTACAACGGGAGGGACTTGATCAATGACTTTACCGCCGGGAAGCGATTTTGCGGATAGCGAACTTCAGCGTCGCCGACTACGGACTCTACCGTTGTCGCTGCGTCAACGATTTCACATTTCTTCAGTACGAGTTGTGCGGTGGTTCGGATGGTCTAGAGACCCACTGCTCGGCAGCAACAGAACTACAGCTCCTTCCTACAGGTATATACGTATTAGTAATTTCTTTATAGGATATATTATAGTGTTTCAGATGACATTCTTAGTTGCTCTTTTAATCACAAAATGTTTCACCTGTGCTTAGATGGAGGCACTGGAATTCACACAGAGTTTATCGACAGTCCTGGTACAAAAGTCTCATTGCCACCGTGTGCCAGTGGCTGGACTAGAATTGACACCGGCGGGTCTCTCAATAAGGCTGGCAGTGAAGTTATTGTGGGATCTCCACAAGACCAGGCAAAGTTTGTCTGTGCCTCCTCAGTCACCAGCAACCCTGTAAACATAGTGTACATTGAAATCAAAGGTTGGTTCAACGACTAACACACTTTGCTTACAAATAAGCCCCTGTAATTACCTTCAGATTATCACCCGTTGAGGATCCTCTATCCAGTGTCAGACACCGCTGATTTGGTTCTAAGTAATCGCAGCAGTCAAGTTCCAGTTTGTGCCTCTCTCACGTCTGCTTCAAACAGCACCAACACTAGCCTACTGTTCCACACCAACAATACAATAGAGAGACTAGAGGCTGAGTCCACTAGCAATGTGATAGCACTGAACGTGGAGCAGTGTGGATGGGTGAGAGTCTATTTCGTTGATGAGTTTCTGGTGAACGTGACAAAGGAGGCAGAATACAATGGTTCGTTCTTCAGCTGTACTGTGTCCAGTCCTTGGGAAAGTCTCAGTGTGAATTTTACCATTCACGAGAACCGCACCACCATGCCACAAGTTTGCCAAACTCCACCTTCATCACCACCTGTCTCGTCTAGTTCACCTGTACCTTCATCTACCAGTGAATTCCATAGTCCAGCCTCCACTTCTTTGCCACATCCTGATGGTGTTGACTTATCCGTTACAGCTACAACAAGTTCTCAGCCATCCTATCCTATACCCACCACTTCTCCACCATTTCCAGTTGTTTTCAATTTTCAAACAGCTTCTCCCCCACCTCCCAGTAATGGCGGAGACAATACATTTCCCACCATAATAGCAGGGGCAGTTGTAGTATTATTGGTGGTAGTAATCCTAATAGTTCTGGGAGTATTTTTCGTACTGGTGTTTGTATGGAGACGAAGGAAGACAGCATCAAGGAGAATGTACAAACTCCCGGCAAATGATGACTCTTTCGCAGCTGAGCCGAGTCTGGTCCAACCGTCTTTCATCAATTTCCACGTCACCAACGACACTCACCTGCTCTCTAATGGTAACTCAGTCGGTCATCAGTTTACTCACAATGGGGTGGGAGTCTCAAGACAAATGGCAAAGGTATAAATATCCACCCACTCTCTCTCTTATGTCTATCCTCTAAAGCTGTTCTGATGCCAACTTCTCTTGCACGTGGTGTGTCATACATATATTTCCTCTGGTGCAGTGTATATCTAGCCTCCAGCAGTCTCCTTGGCTGTTTCCCTATGAGAAGCTAGAGTTTCTGGAAGAGTTGGGTTCGGGGGCATTTGGAGTCGTCAAAAAAGCTCTGGCCCACAGTCTCCAGCCTGGAGAACCTGCTACTGTCGTGGCAGTGAAAATGCTGAAAGGTAAGATATTAGTATATACCCTCAGTTGTAGGGAGTCTACATACATAGCCCACCCAGGCTGCGTTGGGAAGCTTAGCTACTGTCAGAGGAGCTTCACATTTTTCATTCCGTGCAATCCTAACATAACATATCAATGATATAATTAGTGTTGGCTGAATCAGTACAGATTTCACCAGCTGTATACATAGGGGAACCCCTCTAATCCGGACACCAATTGAACATAGATAGAAATTAGTGTCCATAGTAGCAAAGTTTCTTGTTAAATTACATGCAAGAAGTTTTCTCGTTGAAAGCTAGTTAGGGAGGTGTCCTCATATCAGGGGTTTCCTTATAAGAGGGGTCCCTGTGTCTTCCCCGCAGACAATGCCGGCCCAGACGATGAAGAAAAGGACCTCATTTCAGAGCTGAAAGTGTTAAAACATGTCGGAGCCCACCCGAACATTGTCTGTCTCCTAGGAGCTGCCGTCAACAATGGTCAGTCATCATGCAACATAGACTGGAACCTAAGAACATTGCTCAGATGACTTTCCTGCTAGGCTGATACCTAACATGATAGATGGTTTGAGTCCGTGGAGCCACAGAAATAGTGTAGCAAATAATACTAGCTAGTGTGACATCTGATCCGTACTATAGTTATCTGGAAGGAATTGCATGACGTAAGCAACCTGTTCTCAGAATCGGGCTGGGTTTTTACAGACCTAACTTCTCTCTCTCTCTGTGTCTATCTTTCTCAGGAATGCTCCATGTCATAGTGGAGTACTGCTGCAATGGGAACTTACTGAATTACCTCCGGTCCAAGAGGAACGACCAGACCTCGCCACTGACTGCCCGTCACTGTGTGGACATGGCTGCTCAGGTAGCTACCGGCATGGAATTTCTCACCTCCAAAGACGTAAGTTGATATGAATAGACTTCGACATTCCCTTGTCTGTCGCTAGTTCTCGATTAATGGAGTCGGTAAAACGGTGAGATGTCAAACCTTTTCTTCTTCAGTGTATTCATCGCGATCTGGCGGCTCGCAATGTTCTAATCACAGAGGACAATGTTCTGAAAGTTGCAGATTTCGGGCTGGCAAGAAAGGTGTATGAATCTGTCTACCGACCCTCTGGAGTAAGTCTGCCCTGGCATTGTGCTAGTGTTGCTGTTGTTTGTTCCCAGCTGCTCATTATGTGGTTAGAGTAATACGGTATTCAGTATCACTGTTTGCATGGTTTGTGTGTGGGTGAGGAAAGGGACCCCTATACTCCTTCACCAAAGCCGGAATCTACCCAATGTCTTTGATGTACCATACTAGTCATATCTAGTCCGAACAAAAGAAGTTGATGTGGTTATAAGTAGCTTCAATAGATGCCTTATATCCTCCCTACCTTCCACTGTATATGACAACCGGACTGGTCTCTCAAGAATGTGGGGAAGGGTGTGGGGGAGAAAGCCTATAACATTAGAGTGCTAGCTCTGACAAGTTTAATGTTGTCAAACTGGATCAAGTGCTAGATGTTTTATGTGCTCTTCTGCTGTTACAATTCTCCACAACTCTCCATTGCAGGGTAAGGTACCGGTCAAATGGCTGGCTCCAGAGAGCATCATTGACCACGTGTACACTGCCCAGAGCGACGTGTGAGTTACGCAGTTTGTGTGCGTGTGTGTGTTTGCATGATTGTTGACTTCTTGGCTGTATTGTCACTGGTGTTCTGAACAAAATGTTGGCAGGTGGTCGTTTGGCATTGTTCTATGGGAGGTCCTTACACTTGGTGAGTTTCAGTAGCCAATCATGTTGTATAGATACGTTTTCACCTTCGCTCTCAGGTCGAACTCCCTACCCCGGCAAGTCAGCAGAAACTATGCTGAGAGATTTAGAAGATGGTTACCGAATGCCACGCCCTCAATCCTGCCCAGTCCAAATGTAAACACCCATAGTTGTGCACATGTGACAACAACACAATGATGTAATATACGTTCATTATCACAGCTATGATGTAATGCTGAAGTGTTGGCAGTGGAGCTCAGTGGAGAGACCGACATTCAGTGACCTGGTCAAGCAACTGGAGGAGATCCTGACAGCTGATGAACCAGCTCTCAACAGAGTGAGCTAGGCTTCTTTCCTTTACTCAGTGTTACCTTATAAGGTTCCCTTCTTTCTCCATCAGCACTACTACAACATGGAAGTCAGTGGTCAACTTAATAGGGACTCAACCATTGATTCGACACTCTGCTCTTGTGAAGATTTACTAGATTCCTCAATTGATGGTCCACTCAACACCTGCCACAGCTGTGGGAATTCTTTCACCACCACCAGAGTTCTCAGCTCCGATCCGACAAAGATCTTCTGCGACGATTGCTCACAGATGCCCGAGTATCTCTCCCGCTCATCTCTGGATCTCCTCTCAACTGATGAGTCGGGCACTGTGGGTAGGCGTGGGGGCCCGGCGTTGGTCGCAGCGACTACACAGCAACGACAGCGGCGTCAAAGTCTCCTCTGAGGGGACTTCGTCCGAATTTTACCAGTTGGCCAGCGGAGCCCGCGCCATAGCGTTTGCAAGGAAACTGACAGAGAGCCTACAGAGCATGTGCAGCGAGTGTAAGATGGAGCTGGAGCCAGGACTGGGGTCCCTGTGGAGAGAGAGCTCTCAGAGTATCTCCAGTCTCTGCACCGACTGCAGAGAGACCATGGAGGGGCACAAGTACACAAACATGCTGAGTCCGACAATTGAGGAGATCAGCCGCGAGAGGGAGGCATACATGAGGGGGAGGATGGACCGCCTACTGGGTTCTCCTCCGGGAGGAAAGCCAAGACCAAAGAGTATTGACGAAAGTCTGTTGATGTCATCGAGGGGAGACCGAGAGGGAGGGGAGGGGAGTGCAGAGAGGGAGAGTGAGGGGAGTGTGGAAGAGGAGAGAGAGGACGGAGGAGAGAATGTGATAGTTGGCGAAAAGGTTGAGCTCCGCCAGAAGTACAGTAATGACAGTGGGATAAAGTTGATGCCGGAACCAATTTACCTCAAACGGGTCTCTGCCCCTCCTCTAAGTGGCAATCGGAGGATAAGTGACATAAAGTGTTTCAGTCCGCCCACCCCCAAGGGCATGTCACTACAGACCAGCGGTTGCTCCACCCCAGGCAGCAGACTGAGTGCACATCCTCGTAACAGAGACTTCTTTCAGGAGCTGGGCTTCAAGGAAACCGACCTATAGCATAATATCATCTCCCGGTCCTTTTCACCATTTTGTGTATATTATATAGTTTGTTTCTCGATGCAGCGATATAATTATAAATGCTGCATGTGTAATATTACTATTGTACAAAATGAGCAGTTCACACATAATGCTATGAAGGGGTCAGCTACACATGTATATAGGTACTTATACATAGTTGTCATAGTTCAGCCTCAAATTTCAGTCCTGTGTTTGCTAGAAGTGTTTATTGGGGGTGTGGGCCAGGGGGCGTGGCACTCTGGGAGGAGGTAGGGTCAAGAGATGGTGGGAGGTGTTTGTAAGCCAACAGCTGTGCCATGGCTTGCTCGTGACTCAACATCGCTGTACTGCTGACTTTCTTCCATTCCTGAAAGAAACAGAGTCACATTTAATGCCAAGTAGTATAATAAATAGTCTAATACTTGCAGATGCTGACTAACCTTGTCCAGTCCCCTACGACGCAAGAGAGAGGCTCGTCCAGTACTGTTGAGCATGTTTTGAGCCTGCATTGGGTTAGCCCCTGCCATCAGTTGGTAGCATCCTTTGTACAGCCTCAGCTACAGAGCAAAAATCAACACTATGAGCACTCAAAATAGTGCAAAAAGTGGCCTTACTCGGGGTAGGGCAGAAGGAAGGAGAGAAACAAGTCTTGCTAGGGTGTCAAGGTCTTGATAGAAACCTGGGGTGATCTCTCTCCCCACCCCCACCCCATCCTTCCCCTCCGTCTCCCTCCCACAGGGCTATCCTCAGTTCCAGGAGCCAGTCGCAGGCCAGAAGTAAACCCAGCTGGTGCAGCTCGTTCTCGACAGAGTCAGAGTGATCTTGGAGGACATCAGTCACGCACGTCTGGAGGGCGTTGCTCGTCACTCCGCACAGATGTAGGAGGGTCTCGGTGGGCGTGGCCTGGTTTCCATGGGGACGTTTGTGAAGGCGGAGAGCCTTGAAAGCCAGGTGGAGTGCAGTAGGTACCGGAGTGCTGTGGAGAGATATACAGTGACCCCTTTAATCTGGACACCAATGAAAGTGTCCATTATTACTACAGACCTGTCCCCGAGCATTCCCTCAATGGTTGGGTAGTAAGCCTCCGCTTCTTGATCATCTCCTGCAGTCCAGTGACCTGCAACTAGTCCCAGCGACGCCCACCACTGGATTACTGCAAACCCTGTAATCATCACGTGACAATCACATGAACAGTTCCCAAAATCATGTGACAATCACATGAGTCTGTACGGACCTGAAACGCAGGAGCTTGGGCTGCCGTGACCGGCCAGGAGACTGGAGGTGGCCTCTTTGGTGAGACTGAGAATGTATTTGAACTGCTCGCGAGTGGCGTCAGTGGATGGCTGGGTGGGAGGGGAGGAGGGAGGGACTGGAGGCAGTAGCAGAGTGTTGAAGGATTCACACAGCAGCTCCTTGCAGAATGCACGGGTTACAGAATACAGTGGAAGAGCTGTAGAAAAGGGGAAAAAACTGTACATGACATTACTACCGTGCAATCGAACTCCCATGCAGAACAGGTTCCGCCCAACACTCTTCCCCAGCAAATGCTCCCTTATTATGCACAACCTCAACATTTTCCACTCCTGTTCAGTGGGAGTGTCCACAAGTAGTGAGTGTCTGACCTGCAGGGCCCTGGTAGAGACGAGAGCCGAGGCTGACTTCCGCCTCCCACCTCCCGTTCAGAAGGAAACTCTTTCCTCGAGGAGTGGTCGTCCATTTCAGCTGGGCTGGCAGCTGAGAGGGTCCATTGTTACGAGACCGGAACAGGTAGTACCACTGCATGTGTGAGTGGAGTGGAGAGAGAGAGAGAGAGTCAAAATTTCCAAGGTCTAAAATTTCAGATTGGAAATAATTTCACAAATAGAAAGGATAACCCGACTGAAAGCAAACTTTTTGCAGATTGAGACCAGAAATTTGCATGCAAAATTGGCTTTGCTGTGAAATGGAATTGAGAGCAGTGCTGACCAAGGCCAGGGAGGAGAGGTGGGGGAGTGAGAGGGAGCTCTGGAGACCGAGAGAGCAGTATATCTCAGAGACGACTGGACCTGGGAGTCGCTTCTTCGGACGATCAGCCTCCGCAAAGTTGAGAGCATTCACAGCAAGGTAGAGCCCTAGTCCGCTCAGATGACTTCCAGTGCCAGGAGCTAAGGAGTTAAAAGGGAAATGTCAGTATGTAAGAGATAAATTTAGACTTGTTTTACGAAGATGGATGGGGCACAGCAAATAATTCAGTTTTAGTAACAGTTTCCAAACCCTTATGCATGGTATTGTGAAAAAGAGAGAGAGGGATACTAACCGGTCATGTTGACTTGGTGCAGAAGATGGTAGGCCTGAGCCACTTCACTGCTAGTAACACGGAATCCATGTTTCTTCCCCGCTGCCGAAGCCCCACCCACTGGAATCTTTGACTCCAGAAGAGAGGCCAGGTAGACACCTAGCTTTCCCAGACCCACCTACAATGGTGTCAAGAACAGCATCAAATTAACTTGCGAAAAGAATTTTTCCTGAAGGTCGTCTTGTTTTCAAACACAAATGACAGAAAAAGTTTCCAACGAAGTAAACCAGTGTAATATAGCAGGGTTCAGAATCCACCTAGCTAGTGTGGCAGGCAATAGTGTTGACCTGGAAGATGAGGTGGGAGAGAGAGGCCCAGAGTAGACCCAGGGCCAGAGAGAAAGAGGAGGTGGGGACTGGACGATTGATGACAGATAGAGCCAACTCCACACTATCTCGACACGCACCATACTCTCCCTGTCAGGGAAGACAGACCCCATGAACCATCAACGCAAAAACAGGTGTTTTAAAGTGGGCACAAGGTTCCACTGATTTAAAAGGTCTCTCGCGTTCTCTCACACAGACCTTGTGAAGATCTTGCTGGGCTTGTTTCCAGAACCTCCAGAACTTGATGCCCTCGGGGGAAGAGGGCCCAAACTGAGCCACCGAGCGGATGTGAAGCCAGCCGAAGCAGACAGCGGCCACCAGCAACCTCACAATCCACACCATGCCCCACCAGAACACTCGAGTCACGTACTCCTCGGCTGGAAGGCTGTTGGGAACACTGCTGAGTGTCCTCATGCCTCCAGGGGTGTGGCCTCCATGATGTGGGAGTGGTGACCGGTGAAGTAGAGAGGGTTGACGAAGAAGACAGCCACCAGGAGGACACACATGAGGAGGTGTGGCATGGTGGAGGAGGGGAGGGAGGGGTGGAAGGGGAGGAAGGGATTGTGGGATCCAGGCAGGGGGCTGCTGTTTCCCTGCACAGTTGAAAGAATAGGTCTCATATTATTATTGAGGTGTAAAGGCGGCTCTAACTTACGGAGTCGCAGTCAGGGGAAGAGGGGGGAACCCCTGAATCTTCTCCGCTGACAGAGCTGCGGGGTGACATGGAGGGCGGGGTAACAGGGGGGCTCTGGGAGTACCCCGCCAGGTGGGGCTGCCCGGTCGCCTTGGCCAGCATCTCCTTCAGCTGCCGGTTCTCCTCCGAGAGTCTCTTGATGGTGGTCTCCAGGTGGCGGATGAAATCAATCGTCTTCTGCAACACGGCCGACTTTTGCAGCTGTGGAACAGAGCGACAGGATTTAGACTTCTCCAGCTCCTATAGTTTAAGGTAGAACAAGGCTAGAACTATGCTAATAGGACTTGGTAATCGAAAAATCGAAACAAGAAAGTATCGAGATTTTCTTTCATGGCTGACCTTCTTGTTGTCTTTGCTGTGTTTTGAGACCATGTCTCTGAGGAGGCCGATGCGGTCGTTGATGCTGGAGCGATATTTCTTCTCTATGAGATTGTGCACCTTCCTCTTCTCAGGATCATGTGGAGGAGACCCCGGAGGACTGTCCTCTGAGGAGAGGGCGAGAGAGAGAGAGAGAGAGCAAATAAAGTAATATTTCGAGACGATCATGGAAAATTATGGCAAAAATTTGCATCGACAAATATTCGGTAGAACGAGTGTCCAATTGAACATCTTTGAGCTAAGTTTGGAGCAAAATTGCTGATAGTCTCTGCCAAACTTTCACACAATTACGTACCAATTGTGTCTTGGTTGTTCTCCCCGTTAGTAGTGGGGTGTGGCTTTGGTGGGAGGCGAGTGATGGGCAGCTTCGGAGTCTTCTTCATCTCCGTCTTCTCCGGAGTCAGTACTCCGTTGGAGTGGGGGAAGGTGTAGTTACTCCGGGCCCCTCTCCCCGTGGTCCCGGGGTGGAGGGGGGCCGAGGAGGCGGGGTTGTGAGCAGGGGGAGAGGGGGAGGGGTGGAGAGGGGGAGGAGGTGAGAGCTGATGTTGAAGATGCTGCTGCTGGGAGATGGAGGCATGGATCTGCAGCTGGTTCTTCAGAATCTCTGTCTTAATCAGAGTCTGGAGAGAGACACACAGAGATACTCAATCTCTCTAAGGACACCCCTGAAACAAGGACACCTCTCTAATAAGGAGTGAATACAGACACCATGGTAATTATCTTCTGTTCTATTGGTGTTAGGATTAGTTTGTTGTATCTGCCACTCAGAATGCATCCAATAGTCTCATTATTTCAGCTTGCTATCATAATCTTGGGGCCTGAATCACACCAGAGAGGCTGTGGGCTACGACAGTAAACATTCTCCTACATTACCCGCACTACAGAGTGGGGTGACCAACCCATTGCATAATACATTGGCGACAAATGCATGAAGTATGCATTAGGTTACGGGACATGGGGTGAGCGAGTGGAAGGCACGTTATGTACACGCTGGTACAAGAGGCATGTACACAATACACTGAAGAATGTAAACATATCAATAGAGGTCAAGTCGCGCCACCAGCCCAGATCACCCCATCCTTACACAGCGGGCATCCTCCCCCTATTCATTGAACATACTATGGGACAGAATGCCCTATCGTAAGACTCTCTAAAGCTAGCAGAACACTAATTGCTCAGTAATGGGATTAGGACATGCACTACAGACATCCCGTGCTACTGCACAACACCACGTTAAAAGGTTGAGCAGAATCAAACTTTAACAAAAGGATGAGGCATTTCGCAGGTAACAATAGGCCACAATGAACCAGACAGAGAAGCAAAACAAACACAGACTTACAATCGAGAGAAAAACAAGCCAGAGGAACTACAGGTGAAACACCAAGACGGACCTGTTTGAGGTCGAGGAGTTTCCTTTGCTGGACCCTCTGCTGAGCCTCCAGTTTCTTTGTTTCCTCCAGGACCCAGGAGTCCATGGGAGAGACTGCGGGAGCCCCGAGGGGAGAGAGGGGAGGCACGCTGGGGTGACCCATCAGTGGCAGACCAGTCGACGGGTCAAGAACATCGTCAAATAGAGAGGTCCACTCGTTGTTGGAGGACGTAGGGACTTTTGATGTCCCTGCTGCCAACTCTGAGAGGAGAGTTAGTTTTAGCAAATGGTCACGTCAAGACGGAAGCATATTCATCTCAAATGTACGAGCCTTGAAAACCTGTGTCTTAGTCAACTAGAACTAGGCACACTAACTGACAATCGAGCAAAAAGTGGTTTATGGTCTCACCAGACAGCATTTTGTCGTCCATCTCCAGGAAGCCGGCCAGGTCCATATCGCACGGGGGTTCCGCCAACGGTTGCTGCTCGCACTGGTAGACGGGCGGGTAGGAGTCTGGCCCGAAACTCATGTCCGGGTCGCATTTAATACCGTAGCCGCCACAAGCAGCCATCTCCTCCTTCTCGTCCCAGTCCATCGTACGATCGCTTCGAGTCAGGCGATAATTTCCACCAATCGGATCGCTGGATTCCGCCAGGCCATTACGTAATAACTGGGCGGATGCACGGAAAGTACACGCCCACTTATTAATTTCCGGCAACAAGAGGAAAGGAGTGTGCATCTGAGCTCCAGCAGCTTGTGTATAAAAATACTGATTTCGGCAAATTGGATACACGTACAATAATGTGTGGAAAACAGTTCTCTCCTAGCTACCCTACTATGCAACTAGGCCAGAACTTTTGAGTTACAGAAATACCTAAGCCGATGGACAATCTCCATGCTAGTACGACAATAAGTAGTGTAATGGTAGAATAACGGTTAGACTAGGTGTAAATTCCAGTTCAAATTTCTCTCTCTCTGTCTACATAGTGTGGAGTCGTTACTTCCTCCTCTTGCTCATGGCGTCTCTCTCTGACTGGGCCCTCTGAGCCTGGACTGCAGCCTTCTTCTTGTTGAACAGATTTATCTCCTCTTCCTGAGAGAGAGAGAGAGACCAAATAACAAACCCCTTATGTACACTAGGATTATACTATGAGGACTAAATGTGGCTCTATACCATCTCATACATAGTTTGTGGGTGGTCAACTCGGAGGTGGAATTTCACACTCAAATTAGTCACACGAGGTGGATGCCAAAACCAAGTCCCCACCCAATACTTGTCTACAATTCAGTCAGCCACCACCCGGGTGTCTCTGGAGACTCACCAGCTGCCTCTTCTTGTCGTCCTGGAGTCTCTTCTCCTCCTGGTTCTTGGTTCGCAGTTTCTCAAACTCATCATGGAGCCTCTGCTCTGCTGTCTTCAGCTCCGCCTCCTTCTCTTTCACCTGGTCAAAAAACCACCCATAAAATGAACACTAGCTTGAGCACTACACTCTATACAAACAGCTAGCTCCCACTTTCAGGGGTTAAAATTTTCAGGGTGAAAAGTTCACCTTCTGCACAAACATCTGCCTCATTCGTTCCTCCTTGGTCTGCATGTCGCGGAGGTGCTGTTGTCGTTTGATCTCATATGTCTCTTGGAGCGAAACCGGCCTGTTGTCGGCCGTCTTGTCTGCGAACCCCATCTGCTGGAGCCTGCTCTGGCGGTACAGCTCGTAGTGCTTAGAGTGTGTCTTCTCACGAAGGTCCTCCATGTTGGTCCTGCAGGAGAGAAAAGATAAAAGGCTAGGGGCCCCGCGTCCTTTGTGGTGTGAGTTGTGACTATTCATGTGCAAAGTGAACATGGGTGGGTGAATGTGACGTGGTGACTCACCGCAGCAGCATCTCTCGTAGCTTGACAAAATCACAATGAGCTTCGTTCTCAACTGCAGAGAGCAACACGTGTCCACAGCAGTCGTTTATACAATATTATACATCCATACCACTATATACTCTACATGCTATACACACTAACATATACACAACATGCAGTAAATACACACACCTGTGCCAAATGGTTAGAGAGTGTGCTCAACCTACCTTCCACAGTCCCCCAAGGATACTGACGAGCACGGACTTTGTGACCTCCAACGACAATTTCATCCGTACTGCCCACCACTGCAAATGGCACCTGGTCCTGGACACAAGGAAGAGAGTGGGTGGGGGTCAATTGGTGGGTGTGGTTTGGGTGTGGCTTACATTCATCTTTGAGTTGAGGTCTGCCACGGTCTCATCGTCTGTTGGGAACTGGTAAATCTGGACTCCATTGGCTCGCAGCTCCTCTGTAATCTGGACACAAAAGAGCTCGATGGCGACTGGCATAATGGTGAACGTTTTCTCTCACCCTGGCCTTGAATTGAGGCAGTTCAGATCGGGCAATAGTGTCGGCCTTGGCAATGACAGGGATGATATTGACCTGAGAGGGAGACCAGCAAAATAGTCAACACACAGAGCTCAGGAGCCACAATGCTACCAACCTTCTTGTCCAGCTCCTTCATACAGACCAGGTCAAGACTCTTTATCCTGCACACACACACACACACAATTACAAAAAGCCAAGAAGTCAAGAAGCTTTAATGCTCACGAGTGGCCGGTGGGAGCGATGAAGTAGAGACAGACGTGAATGCGAGTGTCATGGAAGTGGACCAGATCTCTCCTGATCTTGAGCTCCTCAGTGAGGTACTGTTCAAACTGCTGGTCCAGGTAGGTCACCACTGCCTTGGCCGAGTTCTCCTTGTTGATCTGGTCTCCGAAGCCAGCTGTGCTCACAACCGTCAGCCGCAGGTTCACGTTGCTCTCCTGCAGGTCTGCGCAGTGAAGGGAAACACGTCGAAGATAATACCACACCATAAAAGATTCAAGTTTCTGGCAAGGAAGCAACAAGCAGAATGCTGCACATACTCACACAACTTTGCTTTACATTGGCGATGGTTAATGTAACAACTTACTGTAAGTGTTTTGTTCCAGCTTTACTTCTGGTAGTCTGTGAACAACTGGAGTATCTATATATACACCACACACACAGGGGCAACACACATATTTATAACACACACAGAATTTATTGAGGATTGCCATCAATGAATATAGTTGTGACAAGAAGAGATTAGACCTCCCAAGACATGATTACCGCTACATACACACATGCAACAGTGCATTAACATTAATTTGTTTGGTTCGAGCTTACCGTTGAAACTAGACTTGAAGAGTGAATCGATGAGTGTCGACTTGCCACAACCGGTCTCTCCTGTGAATGAGACGGGAAGAGAGGGGAAGAGGGAGAGGAGGTGAAGAAGGTGACCGACTAAATCTCTAGGGAAATTGCTACACACAGTGGCTCCCGGCGAGATGAAGGAAACAGTGAGAGAACTAAAGAGGCATACACACGGATGACACCAGTGGACCAGTAAGCTGCCATAGGAATGTTGTAAACAGTAGCCAGCAAAGGAACACAGCGGGCAAAAATATCTTGTAGCCATCCACATGGCAACAAGCTACAGCGGTGTGGTACATCAAATGGAATGTTCTCATACAGAGAGGGAGTGGGTCCAAAAGGTTCGGCCATAATATGACAGCTGCAAGCATTGATGTGTGCATGAGATAGTGTGCGTGTGCATGTTGCCTTACCAATGCAGAGAATGTTGAAGTCGAAGCCTTTGTTGACGCACTTTGTCACTAGCTGATCCGGGAAACTGTCAAACCCGACGTGGCCAGAGAGTCGAAGATCTCTGTTTCCTCCACCCTTCATTTGGGAGAGAGGGAGGGCAGCACACAACACAAACACACACACACACACACAAACGCAAACACAGGGTAAGAAGTATATACATAAAGTCAAGAACGCCAGAAGTCATTTGTATGTACACGCCCTTTTCCCACTTAGCCTCACACCCTGCGTCAGCTAGAGGCAAAATACGCACAGATCGCTCCTCTAGCCCAGATTCATACATAAGCCGCGTTTTTACGGTCTGTGCCATTGTCAGTACGCCGCTCACCAGGACTCTCATAACTTGATGGTGATTGCTCATGATGGCTCGTCTCAAACCCACAGAACAGGGAGAGCAGCGCGCGTGGCTTCGATCACACCCAAACTCAGCCTCGCCCGTTCAATCGAGACAACTTCGAGCACTTGGAATGCAGATGTACTAATTAGCCCCGGGGTCAAAATAAGCGCAAATTCATAACCGCTCACACGCGCGGATCAAACAACTTCCGGTCGATGGCACAAACAAAAATAGCTTGGGAACGAGGCCACAGTTCACCATTCACCATGATCATGAAGTGAGAAACAGGCATTCAAAAAACTGTGAGCAATGCAAAAACGCCGTAGAGCAGGGCGCAGGGGTAAGCAATGAGGAGCTGTTGTGAGTCCATGGCCAGAGCAGTGACAAACAGTTTGGAGGCTGAGTAGCTGCACCAGCCTATGATGAGGAGTGAGAGAGCGGTCCCAATGATCCCCCTGCAACAGGCAGAGAGATAGAAAGAGAGATTCAGGGAAAAAACAGAGAAAAGGATAAAAGCGTAAGGGAAATAGCATAGAGAAATTTATCAGCAGAGAAAAGAAAAAGTTATAGAAAAGCAGTAGAACAAAAGCAGAGGAAAAGAGAGAGAAGTGGAGATATGTCTTACTGGAGAGAGGTGACGATGGATATGCAGGAGAGGAGGACCATGGGGAGGAGGCAGTAGCCGAGGACGCTCACCACGCAGCTGGCAGACACCCCCTGACTGCTCATCAGGTTGAGGACAAGGAACATGGAGAGAGCGCCCATGAAACTGACACCATAGATGTAGCCAAACTGAACCTTGCCACTCTGTGAACAAGAGAGGCGACGAGCGGTTAGTTACAGTTTCTGCACTGCAAAACATTCAAGGGAGAAGTTATGAGCCTTTTTGAAAAGTTCTTTGTGACAAAATGTTTTATTGGCGGTCGAAAATCAGCAAAATTCACATATGCAACCAAAAGCGAAATTTTCCAGCTATATAATTATGTATGCACTATACGGAAGAGTTTATAACTGGACCAAATTCTGTGGTGGCCTACTGAGCAGGTAGCTTACCAACAGAAGTACAACTCCAAAGAGGAGGCAGAAGATGAGAGGGCCTGCCAGGTCCGTGTCGTTGACGATTCGTAAATCAGTCACTTGCAGTGGGTTCAGTACCGACAGCGTCTGAAGAAAAGCAAAGCCAGGAGCAGTAAAAGCACTAACACACACACATGGAGAGTTGGCCCAGACCTTCTGTTTGATGAGCTGAAAGTCGATTCCAAGTTCTTGCAGGAGTGGGGGCTCGTCCTCAAATGAAGTGCCGTAGCTGGGGGCCCCGGTGTCTTCTCCCCCATCCATCTGACCCAGACTCCCTGGCTCTGTCTCCCCTCCTGCCACACCTGGCCCTGATGACTGGTACTCTAGAGAGAAGAGAATCAGCGGCAAAGTCTATCAGTTGGTTTTGACCCACCATACAGATGTCTTCTCTGCATACTGCCAGTCAATTAACACACAGAAGGACTATATCAACGTACAACTACCTGCCTGATCAGCACAAGCCTAATAGCTACGTGTACATAATAGAGCTGGGCTCTAAATAGAAATGACAAATTGTACGCGTATACGGGCTGCAGTGGACGCTGCGCCGCCCACCTTGTGGTCCGTAGCCTTGCTGCTGTACGTAGCCCACGGTCGGAGGGTAGTAGACTTGTTGCTGACTCCCCCACTGTGCCTGCTGATCCTGCGCAGGAATTTGCTGCCAGCCTCCCTGCTGAACTGCCGGCGGAGGCGCCTGCTGCTCCTGCTGAACTCCGTCCATATCATATCCAGACTCGTAAAAGTCCTGTCTGTTGTCCTGGTCACCGTACCCAGCCATTCCCCCCCAAAACAACGAGCAAAGAACCTGCAGCCTGGTTTTTGCAAACGTTGGCGACGGTGCGCATGTTTTAGAAACTTTCGCATAATTAGAACACATGTACATACGAGAGAAATCGAAAAAGGAAGGATAATAACACTGTGATGAAACTAAGGGGTGCTTTGTTACTAGTCGGGTTTGAAGAGCTGTAACTTTGGCAGAAACTCAATCAAAAGGACCTGAAATGATAGGGATGAACAGATCGTGATGTGTTACACGAACAAAAACTGACATAGTTTGTAAGCCTGCTGTGTTCATTGTGCTCTTGCCTCAGCCTCCAATTCAAGTTCAGCTGTCATACACCAAAACAGACATTGGCATAGGTAATCATCTACACTCTCTCAGACTTACTCTATTATACAGTCTCCAGTTCTCTGCTTCTAACACCTTTTCAACCCTAAAAACTGTCTAATGAATGGAAGAAGTGGGGTGAAGAACTATGGTGTGTGTGATTGGTGGTTTACTCTCTTGTTGAAGCAGATCCCAGGTCCTAGGGAGAGGCCAAATGTGCAACAGCAGCAGAGACAGCCGCACAGCAGGCAACGCAGACTCCAAGGAATCCCCTTCTGTAGTATGGCGTTCACTCGACCAATGGTCAACTGGAATTCTTCACGTGCCACCTAAAACAACACACATTACAACACAGTGGCCGGTACACTAACTAGTTGCTCTACTATACGTACCTTCCCTATCAGAGACTGAGGAAACTCTTCGTCAAACCTGTTACTAAGACCAAACCTGCAGTGAGACATTGTGTGTTTTACTGCACCTAAGAAAAATGCAATAGTTGATGATCAGAGGGAAAAGTACTGACATTGTGGTACCACCGACCCCTCGAATTCGTATGGGGTCAGGAACTGTCGTGTGCAGGAGATGTTCGTCCACATCATAGTCCAGATAGTGCAGGGGAGGGGCGGGGTCTTCTATCTCTCTCAGCTGGTACCTGAGGACTCTCTGTTCCACCTCCTCCTCCACGTCTAGCGACTCCAGAGAATGAGGACCTTCTAGAGCGAGGTCCGCCATCGCGCGGCCCTCGGCCACGCCCCTTTGCTGACGTTTGTACAACGGCTTATGGGAGTGTCACGTGACTTTGATTTTGCTCACGTGTAGTCGTTTCAGCAAACAGAATATCTTCTCGTCTTTTGGAGCTAGGTTTGCGATGGTGAGTGTGAAAAGTATTGTTTCTGACGGTCCTGACAAGGTTTGTTGTTGCAGGAGATGGAAGGTGGGCGTGGTGGAGTGACAAACATCTCTGACAAGTCTGGGACCACCAGCTATGGTGTCCAGGATACTCTTAGATATGGGTATGTCTCGTAGAACAAGCCTTGCCTCTCTCTGCTCCTCTTTCTCTCTGTATCACAACAAATGCAAAACCCTTATTGGTAAGGGAGGAGGTGCTACTGTATTACAGATTTGGTTTGTTGTTTTGTTTTCTCACAGATATTCTTCTGCCCGTGATGAAATATCGCCTGCACACCCACTGGAACATGTCCTGGCTAGCGTGAGTAGTTAGTTCACTCACCCCTACCCTCTTCCACACCCCTCCTGTCTCTCTTTGTCCAGCATGCAGTGAGGGAGGAAGCTCTGAGGATGCAGATCTTGCGTGATGCACAAGGTAGTGGTGTCCCCCTGCGAATGCAGATGGAGCGCAGCATTGTCTCAAGGGTTAGCCCAGAAATGGTGGAAGTACTGTTTTACCGAACTTCATCTCTGTATGTAGGTTCAGAGGTTGCCGCCATTGCAGAGCTCAATGATAGCTCTAGAAACGCTCACAGGGATGAACACTCGCTTGGCTCCTGAGGATATCTTCAACCGTGCGTTTCTTTTGTGTTCAGTGTGTGTGTGTATGTTTCTCTCTCTGTATCACAGCTCCATCTGAAGCACTGGTGACTGTCAACACTCATTCTGCCATGCAACGCAAGCTGAACATGAACTAAAATTACTAACCGCTGCATTGCGTGATCATCGTATTATAATACTTTCATGTTTTATCTTGACATACTTTATTTTGATCAACAATAGATTAAAATGCTACAAACGAGAGTCCAAACTAAATATGTTTTAAAAAGTTCAGCAGTGTTTTGATGATAGTTCATTCGCTCTGGCTGGGATGTAGGGCATCAAGAACCTTGCCAATATCACCTCCTTTGGCCTTGATGAGCTCAGTGAGCCAGCCCCCCTCGTTATCAAACCCCATTCCTTGCAACTGGGACAGTGCCGCTTCAATTGGGTCCGACCTGCCTTCACTGGCAGCGGTGGTAGCATCGTCCAGGGTTGGATACAGCTGAAACAAGAAGCACCATGTTCGGTGAGACACTACACCAGATTGAGAACTCACGGTGTTGCCTTCAGGGACTTTACTGGGGGCTGAAGGGGGAGGGTCAGAGGTGTCGGCTTGAGACTCTGTCTTCTTTGGCTGCTCATCATCCACTACGTCCACGTCCACCTTGACTCCAAACGGACGAAGGAAAGTGGAAACGGCTTCCCCGATGTCCTGCAGGTAGCTCTGTTGCTGCTCTTTCACCTGTTTGCCCCCCGACTGCCCCACACCCTCCTCTGTTTCCATCTCCTCCGGCTTGGCTCCAGCTGGTTTCTCTCCTGGTGGCGGCGGGTTCTGCTGCCCTGCGCCAGGCTCTCCACCCCACTGACCTCCGAGGAAGTTTTGGAGGAAAAACGGAGGAACCCACGGCCCTCCGTGAGCCCACGGTCCTCCGTGATGCCTGCGGACCCCACAGTGTCGTCCTCCCCTCCTCCCCCTCCACGGACCCCCGCATCGCCCCCCGTGAGGGAACCCCCAGGGATTGTAACTCTGGGGGTCACTGATTGACACCATGTTATGCTCCACATGCTCTCCCTTCTTCTCACACGAGGAGCAGAGATCGTAGTCTGCACACACCAGGCACTTGTAGCGCACGCCATAGATTTCAGAGTTGCAGCCGTCGCAGACTACGTGGACGTGGTGTGGGCCTCCGGCTTTCTGCTGGGATCCAGACTCGGAACCTTGCTCCTCCATTGTCTCTTCCTCTCTCTGTTTGTCGTGGGAGGCCGGCGGTCGCGAGGGCTGGCAAGGCAGTGGGCAGAAAACAGGCTGCGGACAACACGGCGGCTTCTCTCTCTCTGGAAGTAATAAAACGTGAACTATTATTTGTCGGTGAGAATGTTCTCACTTTTCAGGTGAATTTTGAAGATGGAACCGTCAAATTGGTCAAGAGCTTCCACCAGCTCTTCGTCGCTTGAGATGTTGACATAGTCTCCTTCAGCATCTACCCGAAGATTCATTTATTCACTGTCGGTATACATAGCTACACTAAAGGACACTCACCTTCCCAAGACAGAATGATCTCTTCCGCGGAAACAGAGGGAAAGACCTGCGCCAACTTTTGCACGAGGTAAGAGTAGCTCGTGGAGACGTCTTGGTCGAGCGAGAAACGACGGATCTCCGTCGGTTCCTCCTTCCAGCTCCGCCTGTACAGAAACGCCTTCACCGTCAGAGACATTGCTCGTGGTAGATGGTCTGTAAAGCTGTCAGACTTTGTATGAACGTTCTCCCAATGATGTTGAGCAGAGTTCTCGCTGCCGTTTTATTGAGAGTCTGAAGAAAACGCTAGAAGAACATAGCTAGCCATGGATATACTCTCAGCAGTACACGCTGCAACTTCTAAACAAATGACGCAATGTCAATGTGGCTAAATTTAGCATTGGACTGCGCGTGCGTAATTTCTACCTATTGCGCGTGCGCACGTGTTGTGTAGGCGTAAGTATTTTTTCTTGGAAGTGCCCTTTGGCGGCTGAAAGGAGCCTTCTCAGAATTACCGCTGTCCGCTTCTTGTCATCTAAACGCGTTTACTGGTGGAATCGCTGCAGTCTTAGCATTTGATCTATTTTGGCTTGTTCAGTGGAAGGCGTCTTTTCCAGTGTCGTGTCGGAACCGCCTTGCAATACCCAGAACGAACGCGCTGGGGAGTTTCGTAAGTGGCCGGTGATGCGGTTGGCCAGCTGTGTACCTGGTGCGGTACGTTTCCAGTGTACGATTGCTCCGTCTATTTAAAGGCGGACATGGAGAGATGTAGCTCAGTGTCCAGGCGGCGCTTGTCGAGGGCATGCATGCACGCGCACTGCTGTAGGTGGGAGGAGCTCTTAGCTACTTAGTGTTTCCTTGGGAGTAAAGTGGACGGTGCATGTATAACAGCAGCTCAACTACATGGGCTGAGACGTGGGCTTTGCATGGTCCACTTACCAGACATGGGAAAATGTAGAGACGAGAATGAATTTTGGTTGTAGCTATCTATCGTCCCCTTATCACAGACATGCATGAGTAATTCTCAAAACTATGCAATGGTAAACATAAAACCGAAAGTGAAAGGCAGTAGCTAGTTTTTTTGTTGAGTCACTATATTATGGCTCTTTCAAAGTGGGCGGGTGCATCCAAGGAAAAGAGTGTGCTAGCTATAGCTGGCTGAATTCACTAATTCTGAGACATCTATATTGAGGCTCTCCTACAGGCTAGAGTCAGTAGATATGTAGCCTACCCTGTTAGTATGGTGCTTCAACTGAAGAGAAATTCAGATCAGATTCTAGGAATGTCCCCTCACAGAGACCTACAATTAGCAGGAAACTTGAGTATACCTCTAACCCAGAACTGATTAGTGGCTCCAAGAAAGGCCAGGAGCCCACTAACTGGAGCCAGCTTTGCCAAGAAATAGGAAGAGCTGGATTTATCATGAATCTCAGATTTGTTATGAAAAAAGTGATGCTTATTTCTCAGAAAGAATTGTGACAGAAGGTGAGAGATTGCCTGTATTGCGATACACAAACACATAATAATAACAAACAGAGTGTTTGATAAATATTTACGGACATTTTTGTATAGATGCTATGTCTATTGCTGGGTCCTCTGGCTCTGATTTGACAGGCAATATGATGGAGGGGAAGTAGATGAGGCCACCTGCAGTGTTCTGAGCAACAAAGATGGTTGGCTGGTGGAAGATGGGCTGAGGGGAAAGTGACGGAGGGGGCGTGGTCTGGACAGAAGGACTGGAGTGATGTCTGTTACTAGTGTTTATGCTCTCTGCTGGTTGTTCTGAGAGTCTGACTGTCGGTGGTGGTGGTGGACTGGCTTCTGGACTCTGGGCCTGCGGGCTCCCCTGGAGTTCCACACTGCTTGAAGATGACGACCGCTCCTTGGAAGATTTCCGGCTGACGATCTTGGTCCAGTCTGTCGGTCTGAGCTCGACGCCCATTCCCTCGAGAGTGTGGCCCATGCGGTAGTGGACTGTTAGCCGTCCACACTCCCTCCCGATCCTCCACAGTTTCTTCAACTGGACATCGTAGGGTTTGACCTGGTGGATCAACTTTCCCTTCTTGGTGGTGGACATGGTATATTTCCCCTCCGTGACTCGGTAAGCATCTTTTTTTGTCGCTTGGTTGAAAACAGTGTCTGTTGTTTTTCTGTACTCCTGTTTAACGTAGCTGGCCTCGCAGCGGATGACTTGGATTGAGCCAATCCTGGATTCCCGCTTGCTGCTTATACGATCAGTCTGTTGGGGGCAATGAGGAAAAAGAGGGAATGTGAATAATTATGAAGCACAGTATCCCTCTCTTCCACAAGGAAAGAGAAGTTTTACACTGGGAACACAATGAAAGATGCAGGAACTGACTAGAGAGGAGTAACTGACCTCGTCAGCAGCAAAACGAGGAAGAGAAAAGAGAAATTCCCTGGTGCCTTCCTTGTCCACAAACCCAGTGATGATTCTAGGTAAAAAAGTACACATTGGGTAAACAGGGCAGAGTTGGGGATACCACGGCCGAATACTAATGTTATGAGACTATACCTAGAGCGCTACATACTATACTTACTTGGACTGGCTTGCTCCATCATGAATTTGGAGGCAAGGACGCCGTCAACGTAGACGAAAACGGCCGAGTCTTCGCAGTGCGACGCTAGGCGTATCTGGACCTGGTACGGCGTGACTGGAGCGCTCTCGATCTCCATCTCCCCGTTCACGAGCTGCTCCGTCTTCTGCCTGTAGCTGAACGGCGCGTAGAGGTTGCTCTCGACGTACACGCGCCCGTCCTTGGCATACTCGGGGACGGGTCGGCCGGCTATCAGCACGGAAAATCCGAAGAAGTCGTCTGAAGGCATAGCTAACGCTGTGGGTCTATCTCTCGGTTCAGTGTTAGAAAAAAGAGCGAAACAACTCTCCGAGTACCCAGTTTTCACTTCTTTTATACCCCCACTTAGCGCTCGGACTTCAGTTGCGCGCTTGCATATTCGCGGAATACACTATATTACCGAAGCGTATTATTATGGGCATCATTCCTGCACACTTCAAATTTCCTAGTACAACCAATTCCGCTGTGGCGGTGTAACTAACAGTGTGTGTGTGTCTAACAAAAAATTCAATTCTCTGTAAAGAGCTCTCTGTGGGGCATCCTACAGGCGATAGAATATTCTTGCATTTCCACAAAAGAATCTCCGTCTCTGTTCCTCTGAATAGGGTTTGAGGATCTCCGATAACACCCTTATGAGCTGTGGGAAGGAGCCATTGATTCGATCCACTGGGAAGTTTGTTGCAAACACACACCTGT